AGTAGTAGTAGTCATGCTGGTGGTGGTGGTAGTAGTAGTAGTAAAAGCTACATGTACTCCCAAATCTGCACGGCCGGACCCCTCTGCATCAAAGTACCCACCCTTCAGAACATTGAAGGGCTCGCTGCAGGGTACTTCGGAACAAAGGTCTTGGAAGAGAGAATCGGCGCTTGCTGTGGTCCATTGGCTTCTGGCTTGTCTGCGTAATCATCGGATTTAGTTCTCGGAGAACTTGGGCTAAGGGGGATGTAGGGCTGGCTGCACGGTCCCCGAAGCCTACTGGAAGATTTTCATGGGTCTTTGTGTCATTCTGGTGATAAGCACCCTAAGAGTTTCTAACTGTGAGTACCCATGGGTTCTTTCAGCAGAATCCAACTCGTAACTGTAAACTCGAAAATGCGGAATCCCTGAACTTTGCAAGCCCCAAAGCGAAAGCCAAGGCCATTCAAACTCGCAGCTGTAGCTGAGCACGTCCGCCGCGATCGTCACCACTGAAGCCAGACTCACACCAGGTGCTTGGTGGGCCGTGACCTCGCACTCGAAGGAGAAAGCCTGCAAGATGCGGGGCTTTAGGATTCGGGCGCTCTTTTCGGGTCTTGGCTATGTTCATTTGGGCTTTGGGCCGCAGGGCCGCGAGCTGGGCAGCTTCAAGACGAAGCGAGGATTCGGAATTCCGAGCTCAAGCTTTCTGAATCTCTCGGTCTCCTGACCCCAAACTCGAAAACCCTCCACCCTGCAGCTTCCCATCGGGCTCAAGGCTCGGGTTCTGCAGGTTGCCAAGAACATGAGATTTTATCGGAAGAAAAGATTTGGCTTTTTTTGGTTGGCTTTAAACACCCCCAAACTCTAAGCTTCAAGGCCGTCAAGGTGGCTTTAAACACCCCCAAACTCTAAGCTTCAAGGCCGTCAAGGCCACAAGGACAGGACCATGCAGGAGCTGCCTCGATGGGCTTGGCCCGCCCCGGCATGTAGGAGATCTCGCCTGCGACGGCTCTTGCGAGTTTCAGCGCCCTAAAGCCCTAAACCCTAAACTCTAAAGCCCGAAAGCCTAAACCCTAAACTCTAAAGCCTAAAGCCCTAAACCCTAAACTCTAAAGCCTAAAACCCAAACTCCCTGACCTAAGGTCTACACACACCGGCTTGAGACTTTTAGCAGCCCAAGAGCCGAATCCCATACAGCCGCTGGGTCCTTTTTGGGGCCCATAAAACTCCAGAAGCCCCGGAATCGAAACGCAGAACCCCGTAGGGCCTTCGGAAGCCCTCAACCCTGAAGTCCTAAAGCCTAAAAACCCCAAAGCCCTAAACCCTGAAACCCTGTAGTGAAACTGATACTAATGCTAACAGTCACTAATACATACTTCTTGCTCATGCTAATACTAATACTGATGCTAACACTGACAGGACTACTAATGCTAGTACGATTACTAGTGTTAAATTACCAGCACCAATACGAATACTGCTGCAACGACAACAACAACAACCACAACAACAACAAGAACACGAACAAGAACAAGAATACGACCAACGACAACAACAACAACAAATACTACGTCTACTACTACTGCTGCTACTGCTACTACTGCTACTAGTACTACCGCAGTAGTAGTGCAGGTAGTAGCAGTAGCAGTAGCAGTAGCAGGAGCAGGAGCAGGAGCAGTAGCAGTAGCAGTAGCAGTAGCAGTAGTAGTAGTAGTAGTAGTAGTAGTAGTAGTAGTACGACGATGACTACTATGACGACTGATACGAAAACCGATACAAAATACTAATTCACTACTAATTCCAATACTAACTAGTACTACAAACAATACTGATAATAATGCTGAGCACTTCTTGAAGCTCTCCTGTAGAGCTGTCCATGGTCAGGTTGTGCGCCGCCAGCTCGCACTTTGCATCCACGGTGTAGCGCTCGGCCGTGCGCGGTTCGGGCATCATCACCTGGAGCCCGCAATTCAACGTATACACGCCAATCTTACAGATGTTTATGTTGGAAAGGGAAGGGGAGGGGAGAGGGGAGGGAGGGAGGGAGGGGAGGGAGGGGAGGGAGGAGAGGGACTGGAGAGGGAGGGAGGGGAGGGGAGGGAAGGGGAAGGGGAGGGAGGGATCGTCGAAGAGAAACGGAAAGACAAACACGCACACGGCGAGCGCCCGAATCTTGGAACATCTGGGACGCGACGGCCCGTTTCGGGCATGTTTCAACTTTACCGGTTTCAGGCAAACCGTTCCCAGTCACTTACGAATACGGTTTTAACTATCGGCCATGTTCCAACTGTCCGTCCCACCACGTAAGTGCTGCGCAATTGACAACCATGCGATCTTGACATATTTTTGCTCCAATGCAGCTTGTTGGACTCCATGGTGCAAGGTCACGAACTTTTAAGACCTACATATGCCCAGTCGCGATGTTGGAGTCGAGAGACCAGCGGCTGTTGGAATAGGAGAAGGGTGTCGGCCTGGTAGCCCGGCTTTAGGGTTTAAGGCAACTTCAAGGGTTATTAGCTTCCTGGATTGAATTGAGGGGAATTTTTGTGGGGGTTTACGGCTTGGAGCCCCGCTACTCCACAGAACATCTACCTGCCGGCAAGTTGCGTAACGATGCCACCACCGCACTGGCAGCAAGCCTCATTGCTGGATTGGCCTCTCACCTTCTCGTCGCTGCAATCACTCGCCGCCAGCTGCATGCAGGATTTCCCGTCCACACTGAGCCTTTGGGACGAGCGGTCGGGAACAGTTGTCAGAAGGTGAAAACAAACATTCACAATCCATAGCAAGCATAGCACCATTCTTGATCAGAACAGCGTATAATGAGTTTTGAGAATAAAGATGTAGCACTGCTATGGCCACCTCTGACACTTCCCAAAATGTCCGCTATGATAGATGAAGTCAATGAGAGATCGTGCACACACCAGCAACAAGACTAAAACAAGTCCGATGGGGAGACTCATATTCACTCATGGTGAGACTACGCATCAGCGCTGTCGATCTATCGTCCTTCTCGGGATCAAAAACCGCGAACATCCAGAGCAATGGTCTTCCAATCCTAAACCCTGGCCTAAGCATCCCAAAACCCCGCTATAGTCACTATAATTTTCTCCCAGGAGCCATCCACCAGAGTTCGTGCATGCCGTGCATTTGCCTTCACGCTCGATGAAGCCCTCAGCACATCGCTGGCAGGAAGAACCTCCCGTGAAAGAGGCGCAACCAGCACAAGCCTGGGATTACGAAAGGGAGCTTGGATCAAGCACGATGGTTTAGGATGAGCGGCTGCTACCACTAGGCTGCTGAATTTATACGCTTCTTCTTGTTGGAGGCTAGCGTGTAGATGTCAATTCTGATTGGTTGAAGGCTAAGTCTAAGTGAACCTCTCCATTGCAGCTTTTGGGAACCTGGCAGTGTAGGTATGACTTTAATTGGATTTTGTTGGAAAGGCATGGGGCTCAGACAGCCATGGGCAAACCTTTATGTAAATAGATTGCTTACAACTCGCCAACACACTGACACTGACACAAGCACATGCACTCACACGCAGACATCTTCACAGCCTGATCTTCTGCCAGCATATAGTATGAGCCGTATAAACCCAAAGGTTCACATCCTGTGGCCGCACCAGCCCCAAAGCGCTCAAAACAAGAAGGCCAGCAACCACTTTCGATCTTGGACAGCAGGTCTCAGCAACTCCGGCTGGCTGGAAATCTCGCAGCGTGACCTGGCGCAAAAGGGAGGCTGTGCCCAATCTTGGAAGCTGAGTGCGCACCACCCCCCAAGCCCAAAGTAAAATTCAGAAGAACTCCTAAACTCTACAAGTACATTCCTCAAGGGCACCAACAAAAGAGCCCTTCGATGCATAATATGATTAAGGATTAGGGTTTAAGGGTTTAGGGTTTTAATATGCTTCTCCAAAACTCTATTTGAAACCCCCGCGCCTCTCCGCTCGCACACGTGGCCTCCGTGGCCTCCGGAAGACAGAAGCAATGCGTTCGTTATCTCTTGGGCCATTGGAGAGATTGGAGCTTTGATGTATGGCTTGCAGCTCGGGGCTTGAAGGTTCATGGAGACTACGAACTTGTCGATCTCTATCTTGAAGTACGAGTACTTACACTTCGGACCTTGAGGCTTCATGCCGGGTCATGCCTGCCTGCCGGAGTTCACCCAGGTCAGGCATGGATTTTTTACGGATTCCCAGGCACAGTTGATCTTGCCATCACTGCTCAATACAGCTGACCACTACACCATGTACCACTGCAGACTCCCCGAATCACCAAGCCTCCTAGGGTACACCAGCAAACGTATGCCCGTTGCCCGCCCCATCCACCCCACTGTCGTGCTCACAGCTTCGGAACTGGAGCTTCGACTTTTGACGCAGTCCTTGTGCACTTCACCATAAGCAAAAAGTCTTTATAGAACAGCGTGAAGACTCACCCCAAATGGCTTCCCCAACACCTTGGGAATAGAATAGAACAGACTGTGATCGGGATGTGAACACCAAAATCTTCAAAGCTTCACGAAGAAAATCGCACCAGATTCACAGCCCTAAAGTGACACGCTTGAGTTCTGACTCATAATCCCCAAAGCTGTCCCACTCCGCAGGCGCACGATTGCGCATGTAAGCCCTAAGATCACTCGGAAATGCTGCACAAGCCCTCAACAACAATCGGGAATACTTCGGTACGGTGGCACCAAAATGTATCAACACCAACAGTCTAGGGTTTAGGGGTCTTGCGGTGAGGGTTTGGGGCGGTTAAGCTTCAGTACTTAGCAGTGCAATCAATGGTTCTGACCAACAAACATCTTGAACCCACAACTCAACACCGTAAAATCAGGTTTAGAAGTTAAAAGTCTGTCAAGATAGATAAGCACAACCTCCTGAACCCAGCCGCTAAGGCCATAGCTTCTAACCATTCACTTTTCAGCCTGATAAAGCACATACTGATACCTACACTCGCGAAAGCAAAGCAACGCCTGCTCTGACTTCCTCTGCTGCAAATTCGGGATCTCCGAATCGTTCGCTTTCAGGGCAGTCGCAGGAGGTAGCGGCGATGCTTTGCGACCTGGCTTGAAATATGCTCAGCCTAAAACCCTCAAGCCCTAAACCCTAAAGTGCTGAGCGGCCGGACAGGGCTTACAATTACAGGATTCGTGTCTAGAGCTCGGCCTTCCCTTCCCAAGCTTCTCTGGGAGGCAGATCAACTTTCCACACTCGGAAGAGTCCGGGGATTGCTAAGTGTGGAAAACTTGGCCTGAGGGACAGGTTGCATTAACAGTCTACCAAAGCCGCCGCAAGAGCAAAGACACATAATTGAAACTCACTGCTACATTTTCACCGCCCATAATTACTCCTTATGTCCTGCATTTGGCCTCAACAGGATCTTGTTCATCACCGTCATCAGTGACATCCGCCCAAGCACACCGCACACCTTGTAAGCATCAAGCCCATCTGCATCCAGCCCCCCAGCACTCAACACCATCCGTAAACCCTGAACCCTACAAGCACTAAATTCACTAAACACTAGAGCCTAAAACCCTGCTTTCCGAGCGGCAGCTGCTTCTGAGTTCGCTTGCATTCTCGTGCTGAGCCACTATCGCCGGGAAGTCGAGACGGCCGCGAGGCACCTTCGTTGGAAGCAGGGCGGCTCCATTATAGTATATGTTAGAGTATCCATTATCGTATGTATTCTAGTATCTGCTGTACTATGTTGGCATTATATAAAATAATGCGTGCTACATTTCATCTTGTAGCCTTCGGGTTCTTGGCTGTGGCTTTTGCCTAGAGCAGCCAGTGCTAAACGCAGTCAAGTTCTGCTGAGTGCTACAGAATTTCAGACTTCTAGAGCTGGTTCGTTTGCGGAGTGTCCTTCTGGATCAGCGCTGGCACGTGGTGGGACAAAGCTCACGGCCACAGGGCTCGCGTTGAGGGCCCCAGAAACGATCGGAGTAGGATAATAATCCGGAGGGTCATGTCGCATGTAGAATCTGAAATCTGCGGGTTCAAAGCGGGTTTAACAGGAGAAAGCGAATACAAGCCCCATTGAAAGCTTGCGGCAATATATGTTCGGGGATCCTTGTGACAAAGAATACAACATCTTACCGCAACCGAAGCCGACGCTACATGTAAATGGAAGCCTTCAGCAGCCCGCGCTTGACACCTACTACTTTTTCCCTGCGGCAACGGCTTGGGACCGAAAGGCTTTAAAGTAAGCCTTTAAACCCAACGCGCAGAAATGAGCGCGGGTTCTTCTAACTACCAGCACGACTAGGAAGAGAAAGTCATCACGAACCACAGGCTGCCAAAAGCCTGATCACCTTGCATAAATCTTTTGGTGCAAAGCCTGAGCTGCGCTTTGCCTTGGCCAGCTCTCCGTTGCCTGCGGTTTTTTGAAGCCGCGCCAGCTCCTGGCTTCGAAGGCCCTGATCTGCAAGTTCATGTTCATATTCATACGTGTATGTATGTGTGTACATATACGTCTAAGTATATATGTATAATTAATTAAACTCTCTCTCTTCGTATGTAGACAAAAGGAAAAAAATATATATATACACACACACACATACATACGTACATGCACACATACATACCTGACTACAAGTGTAGGGAGCCTTTGCCAGGGTTTCGACTCTTGGAACTGGGACAAGCTAGGAGAGGCAGCGGCGTCCCAGCAACGGAGGTTCCAACGATCGAAAAGCAGGGAATCCCACCACTAATTGGCCTTAGCCCGGTTTCCAACTTTTGGGGGTTTACTGTAGGGCTTCTTTGGGCCCTTGGGTAGGACAAATATCAGCATTTAGTGATGTGGTTCGGGCACTTGTTCTTATGTACGCACACCTGCACATTAAATTCGGGATACATGTCTACGTGTACATTTATGTATACATATCCATGCATATTCATTTGCTACGATACCATCGGCAGAGCTGAGCAACCCTGTGCAGCAGAGCACACCATTTGCCCGATGATCGCCATGCCAAGAACTGCAAGCCCAGTGCAATCATATGTAGTTGTTTGTAGCTAGCCGTCTGCCTTTCCAAAAACCGCCCAATCGAGCACCTTCGGGTCCTACTGTTCACAGCATTTCATTGGGCACGACCGAACTTTAACCAACTACAATAAGAAGCCATGGACGATGCCAACTAATTCTGTGCACATGAACCAACTATGATTCAAAAACGGCCAGGCTCCTCCTTGAGACCCGCATCTTCGTTCTTGAGCTCTTTCAGTTCCTGCAAAAGTTTGCTGATCTGCTCGGCCCCGCCATAAATGTGTCTGGGAGTCTGGGCCCCACGAGGATAGTGGTTTGCTTCTGAGATAATCGCCGCTGTTTCTGCAAGACTGCGTGCGCTGGGGTGAATGAAGCTTTTTTTGTGGCAGACATAGAGCTCTCCTCCTCCATCTTTCCCATGACCTTCAGCACGCTGTCCTCGAAACCTTTGTCACTGCATCCACTGTCAAAAAGATTGTGGATCGTAAAATTCACGCATACTTGTCTTATCATGTCTTGTCTCCACACTGGCACCTTGGATGGAGAATGAAGCACACAGCGCGGCATGTGTGACAGGAATTTCCGGGACACCCGAATTTCGAAACTTCGGCCACACATCAAAACACCGAAACGTGTCCAATGTGGAACCTGTACTCAAGCCCCCTGATTTAGACGCAAAATCAGCCAGCAATCCATGGAACAAGGTGTGCGCCCATGCTTACTTACAACAATCGTACGAATTCAAATAACAACCTGGGCATTATAGCTTACCCTCAACGAAACAAGCATCATCCACATCCGCCCTTACTTATATACGTACATACATACGTATGACTGCATACATGTGTATATATATTTTCTATGTTTTTTGTTATGTATTTATTTATGTATGTATACATATAGGTAGATAGTTAGATAGATAGATGGATAGAGGGTGCCTGGGGAATTGTGGCAAGCGACCTGACGCCGAGTCCGAATTCCTGAAAGCGCAATGCTTTGTGACGCCGAATTGTGACGCAGCATTGTCTGACGCCGGATTGTCCCCTGACGCCGCATTGGGTGGTGACGCCACATTGCTGAAGCTGCATTAAGTGGTGACGCCGAATTGCCGACGCTGCTTCTGGATTTGAACGGTGGGAATGATGGTCTCTTTCTTGTCGGAGTTGTAGCCACCTGTGGATGCTTCCTTCGTTGTGGTGGGCTTGTCCTCTGTTGTGGTGGGCTCATCCTCCGTTGTGGTGGGCTCATCCTCCGTTGTGGTGGTCTTCTTGTTCATCCTCTCAACGTCACACCCAATCTCTCAGCGATTGAAAGCCTCCGTGAGCATATCGAGGGTGATTTTCTCCCCTTTGGCATCCGACGAAGAAGCCATTGCGGAAAGACAGACTAGGAATGCTACGATAATGCTTGAAAGCAAAGTCGCACTTAAATAGAAGCGTCTAATGCTTCTCAACCTGCTTTCTGACATCTACCACGCTTCGAGGAGCAATCAACAGCAAGGCACACTCATTTTTCTACAAGACTTCAGCGGAGTTTGTTGTTACGATTAATACCTATTTTCAGGACAGAGCAATCTGTGGAGCAAAAACTTGTGATATTCACAAGCGAGTCCGTCACATGTTTAAATGCTTTGACTAAATATTCTCCCATACGAACCACAGCATTAGTGGGAACGGCTACAGTTTTCAGTGGGAAAGGCTACGGTTTTCATTAGGAACGGCTGCGGTTTGCATTGGAAACTGCTATGGTTCCTATGGCATCATTAAATTTTTACATCATACAGCAACTTGAAATCTCTGGATCTTCGCGTTGTTCTTGATTACGACTTTGTGGTGCTCTCTTGAGACTGTCGCGGTTGGCGCTGGAGTGCTTGATCATCTCGTGAAGCATAGTTGGATTGCAAGAAAGTTGGTTCTGATCATCTTCGTTGAAGTGTTTTGAAATACGAATTTTCATCCAGACCTCAACCGTTTCCTTCTTCAAGTGCTGGATAAATTCTATCCACCGGTTCATCTCCTCCATCTCGTCAATCACAGCGAAAGCGCTGTCCAGCACCCTATCTTCCACACAGGCCCTTTTCTTCTTCTTATAGAAGATGTCAAGAAGCACCTTCAACTTTACATCGGACAAGTCCTGCAAGAAGGTAGTGCGGATGTTTTCGTCGTTGAAGTTAGACTTTAAGAGCTCCAACTTTTCAATGAAAGGCCTTGCACAAGCCATCAAAGAAGCAAGCCTTCCGCAATCTCCGAACTGCGCAACCTTCTTCACCGTCTCGTTTATGACCTAGCCTTTGCTTTTTAAGTGGTGCTTGGGGACACGGCGGGACATTGCTTCAGGTTGAAAAGGGATGCTAAGCTGAACACACAAACGACTCACGGAAAAATCAATCAACAGCTCGACTGCTCAATGCAAATATTCCCACGCTCAACTGCTTCGCTCGAAAGATAAAAGCGCATCCGGCACACCTCAGAGAAGTTGATGTTGTCGTTGAAGTTGTTGAAGATAATGAAGAAACCTAAACCCTGAATATCATTATAAGATCTTGAAGAAAACGAGAAAGGAGGACACGCCACAGAAAATGTGAAGGGTGATATGGTGATAAAGGAAAACGAGAGAGGGGGATATCATGAATAATGAAAAAGGTGAATAGAAAAATCTTTAATAAAAGTAAGGTGAGAAAACGGATGAAGGGACGATGTTGATGATGACGTAAATGATAGAACGGATGAGGTGACAAGGTATGATAAAACGAAGAAGGCGTGAATTATGATAAGAATGAAAGAGAGGACGATAATAAGAAACGAAACAGCAGGGGAAGATACAGGGATACAGTCCTTACAGTCCCCAAGTATACAGCCCCAGACCCTGACCCCACACAGCCATTTTTACCTATTTTTTCCCGCAACCCCGCAGGGTGACGCACGCGTGCTTTTCCGCCCTCCCCCTCCCCTCCCCATCCACTAGCAAAGATGCTGCCTGGCCACATGATGGCCATGGATGAGGCACTCTTTCCGGCTCCCACTCCCACTTGTGGAAGGAGGTTCGGCAAAGCCTATCAGAACTCAATGCAGGCT